AATAGAATGAGCGAAGAAATAAGACAAGATAGACATAAACATCTAATACATACATACATATAATATATCACGCAAGGCATTTAGGTTTTTTAGATGCATTTGCGTCCTTTTGATATACAATGAAATTTTGAAGCTCTATATAAGAACCCCAGGAAATAATTATACGCCGGTTGGACGAGTCTTCCAGTCAACTTACATTTGGAAAATCAATCAAATTGTTTTTATTAGCCATTCCGGCAAAGCATAACAAAATGGTTTTGCGGGTCGAAACCCCTCCTTTTGAAATGTGAAAAAAAATAAAATCATTTTTCTGTATCATAGATAGCAATTTTCCGTAACATGTAATGCTTTTTAGACCCCCAAGACTGCTAAAACACGCGTATTCCAGCGTTCGATCGGACCCGCTAGCTCTTTCGATCTAACTTGGCAAAAAAAAAAAAATTCAGAACCCTTTGAAAATTTCTGGCTACGCCCCTGGAGAACAGCATCGCCCCAAGATGACGCTGCAAAGCAATAATAAACCTTGTTATTTATTAGAATTAGGGAATCCTCCGTATATTATTGCGAGGTAGTGCTGTATCGGCACTTATAGGTTAACGTTTCTGAGAATAAGTTGAACAATAGATATTGAAATTTGAAACTATAAATCTGATACATTCAACGCCACCACTTCCTGCGTATCAGAGACTTGGGGTGAAAGTGTAAAAACGTCTCCTGAAAATACTTCAACTGTACGTCCTTGGCGACCCCGATGCCGAGTTTTTCAAAACCTCAGATGTGGAGAGACTTAATAGGATTCGTACAGAACATTTTGAACAAGTTCTGGTGAATTTACTTCTTTCGCTAAATTGTCGTTCAACTTAACCTCAGAATAAACGTTAATTCCATCTTCAGGATTATCTATCTCGCCATTTTGTGCGTCAGATGTCGATGTAACAGGCTTTGTCCGAACATACCTAAAAAATATAGAAAGAGCTTCAAACGAGTAGACATAATTGCAAAGCTATTTAAAAACTTCCATACCGCAAATATTGGGCGCGATGGCTGAGCAGTTGAACGTTAAATCGTTAGACCAGGGGTTTGCAACATTTTTTGTCAGTGAGCCATATGACCAACTTCAGTCAACCAGCTGGGCCACACAAAAAGAGAGTGCGACTATCACTTAGCCTTGCAATATTGGAAGCACAGGGCAAAACGACGAAAGATTCAATGCAACGGAAAGAGCAAAATAACATTGTGTATTTTTAACCATGTGAGAACCTTTTCAAGATTAACTGTCGGATTTAAATAAATCCGAGTATTGACAAGGGTCACACAAATATAACAGCTGTGGTGCGTTCATGTAAGCCATTTGCTGAGATCGCCGAACTCTGACGTCTAATCAGAAATTATTCAATAACGGGTCCGCGGCCAGTGCGAATCCCCTGAATCTCACCACTAGATACATACCCGAAGTATCCAACACAAATCGCTATGCACGAGAGGATAAGAATAATGCTGAGTATGGCAATGGCAATTATGAATGGTAGATACGATCCTGAGATATTTTTCGTATTATCGGATATTGACTGATTCGCTATTTGATTAAGGATGGGAGAACTTACAGCCCGTTTAAGATACTAAATATCTAATTTAATTACTCTAACTAATTATAACATCAACTCAACACCTGATTATGCCACTCGGAATAAAAAGCAAAAAATCTCAAGATCGCAAACCTGCATCAGAACCAACAAGCAAATCCAGTCCACCGGATCCTGGTCTGTCACCAATAATACCATCTTTACCTGGTTCATCTTCCACATCCTACTCAGGCCATAGTGAAGAGAAACAACTAACACCACCTGTTTCCTCTCTGAGCTTGACTAAGATTCAGGAAAATATTCAAAAGAACATTGAAATTCAACTTCCAAGCATCATTGCTCGCTGCATCTCTGAGAATTTTAACAACTCATCAGAGTATTTACCCTTGAGTCCAGGATTAAAAGAATTTATGGACAATCAAAATAAGTTCTTGAAGGAAATTAAAAATGAACTATCTGTCATCAGAGAGTCCCAGGACTTTCAATCTAAAAAGTTTGATGACATATTAAAACATCAAAAAAATATGGATGACCAACTAAAATATCAAAATAAAAAAATTCAATGCTTAGAAGAACGCATCCTGGATCTTGAAGAAGATCTTTGGTATTTATCCGAGCACACTGAAGACCAGGAACGGCGCTCCAGACTCGAAAACCTGGAGTTTCACGGAGTCCCACCCTTAGCAAATGAAAACACCGACGAACTGGTTTTAGAGATTTCAAAACTCACCAAGGTGAATATCCAGCCAAGGGATATTTCTTTTACTCATCGCTTCCCTACAAGAAATCCGAAAAACCACCCTCCTATTATTGCTCGATTTACTAACCGAAGAATTCGACATCAGATTTTCGAAAACCGCAAACGTTTAAAGGCTGCTTCAAATACATCTAATATTAAAGACATGTCTAAAGTTTTCATTTCCGAAAACCTCACCAATAGGAACAAAGACTTATTTTTTCAAGCAAAGGCGCTAAAAAATAGATGCGGTTACGCGTACCTATGGACCTCCAATGGAAAAGTCCGGATAAAAAAAAACAGAATGACAAATACTCTTGAAATCTTGGATGAAGATGATCTCCAAAAAATAAAATAGGTCAGACTTTTTTAATAACCTTTATTTTTCTTATATAATCATTATTTTCCATGTCTGCTGAACAAATATGTTCAATATGTCATTTTTTGTGTCTACCCGATTTTTTTATATGCTGCAATTTGTGTGACCTTAAATTTCACCCTACATGTGTTGCCCCATTGCTCCACCCAAATTTAAACTATATTTGTGAAGTGTGCCTTGCTCAAAATTCTCATGCCTCTTTTCCATATACCTTTTCATGGGAATCATTGAACTTGCCCTCTACTATTTGCCCTATTACAAGTGAATACCTAGAACTCCCTAATATTAGTGGAACTTTATCGCAGCTCAAATCGACTGACTTCATTTTTTTGCATGTCAATATAAGATCCCTTCCAAAGCACATTGATGACCTAATGCAAATGTTAACAAGTTTCGACCAACTACCGCATATCATTGCCTTAAGCGAAACTAGACTTAATGAATCTCCCATTAGTACTATATTTATAAATAATTACAACTTCATTCATTTTCCATCTCCTACCAAGGCTGGGGGTGTAGGGATTTTTATACGCCATGATGTTTTATTTGTTGAAACAATTGAGTTTAGACTCAACTTTCCCCATTGTGAAGATATATGGATTCAGGTTAATGAATCCTCATCTGATAACCCCAAAAAGTTCATTGTTGGAGTTGTTTACAAACATCCTCGCAACGATCTTTCCGATTTCATGGAAACAATGAATTCCCTACTTTCCAAACTAGAAAATTCGAAAAGCCTTTTTATAATCTTGGGCGACTTTAATATTAATTTACTATCCAAAGATAATTTGTCTACACGTTACACTGACATGCTTCTATCGCACCTAGCCGTTCCAATCATAACGCGCCCAACAAGAGTAACCTCGACATCACATACATTAATTGATCATATATACACGAATGCAATCGATCGCTGCTCCTCGTCTATTATCATACAACATGATATATCCGATCACTTTCCTATTATGTCATCCTTTTCTTTTTCGAACACAACTTTCCGTAAGGCCAAACCCCGCATGAAAAGAAAAATGTCTCATTTCAATGAGGAAACATTCAGAAATGATGCTCAAAATGCATTCTATGGATTTTTATTGACAGAATTGTCCACTGATAGCTTCAATGAGGTGTTCAACATCTTCATGACCTCATTGGAACATTTACTCGATGAACATGCACCTATGGTACCGGTTTCTCGCAAAAAAACAAAAATTCTATCCAAACCCTGGATTACGAATGGTATCCAAACATCCATTAGATTAAAAAGTAAAATGCATAAAAAATATTATTTGCATGGCAGTGAAAGCCAACGCGCACATTACAAAAAATACCACAACATCTTAGTTCACCTACTAAGAAAATCAAAACAAGCCTATTATTTGTCAAAAATGAAAAGCAATAGAGGAGATGTAAATCAAACATGGCAGACAATAAAGGAGATTGTGAACATTAAATCGAGGAACAACTCCTCAATATCAGAACTAAAACTTCAAAATGGACTCAAAACTAATGATAGCCTAACCATTGCATCCGAACTTAATAAATTCTTCTCAAATATTGGGAAAAATTTAATAGCAGATGTTCCCACAACAAATGAACATTTCTCGAGCTTTCTAAAAGCTCCCGTTAAGGAGTCAATTTATATGCGAACAACAAATGTGACCGAAGTCTTCAATACCATTCTTGCTTTGAAAACGGGAAAGGCCACAGGCCCATATAACATCTCTACATTTCTCCTTAAGAAGATTGCTGACATAATCTCACCCATCATAGTAAATTTCTTCAACACGTCTATAAGAATAGGCATATTTCCATCTGCGCTGAAACTTGCCAGAGTCATACCATTATACAAATCAGGTGATAAAACTAACCCATCTAATTATCGACCAATCTCCATCTTATCATGTCTGGCAATTGTCTTTGAGAAACTTCTGTATTGCAGATTAAGTGATTTTTGTGGTGAGAACAAACTAATAAATAAATGCCAATTTGGTTTCCAAAAAAATCACTCAACAAGCCATGCCATAATTGACCTCATAGAATATATCTATGATAAATTCGAGAAGGGAGAGCATGTCTGCTGTGCCTTTTTAGACCTAAAAAAAGCCTTTGATACCGTTAGTCATAGCATACTCCTTCGCAAACTTAATCACTACGGAATTCGAGGTTGCGCGCATGCCCTCATCAAAGATTATCTGCAGGGCAGACTCCAATTTGTCGAAGTTGACTCTCACCGTTCCCAAGTTCTTCCAATCGAAGCTGGTGTAATCCAAGGGTCTTGCCTTGGCCCATTATTATTCGTTCTTTTATAAACGACATCTCTCATTGCTCTGATTTGATGACCAAATTATTTGCAGATGACACCGGTCTTCTCTGTAGTTCCAAATCTTCACTGAATCTCCAAAATCATGTCAACCTAGAAATGGTAAAAATTTATAATTGGATGCTTAGTAACAAGCTCACCATCAATATACAAAAGTCTAAAGTAGTCCACATTAAGCCTAATCACAACCGCGACAAAACTCCTTTAGAAATCAAAATCAATGGAATCGAGCTCGAGTCTGTGCCTTCGTATAAATATCTGGGGTTAAACATAGACAATCGTCTACAGTGGGATGTGCACATCAATGAAGTGCGAAAAAAACTTTCACGTTCAGTGGGCATCTTGAGCAAACTCCAACATTACACGGACAGAAATACACTGAAGATAGTTTATTATTCTCTCTTTCAAACATATATCCAATATGCAGTTGTTGCATGGGGATCAGCCTCCAAGTCAAAACTAAATCCTATTAAAGTTTTACAGAACAGGGCCGTTAAAATTCTCTATAGGCCTACTGCTCATATTAACATGAATATTATGTATCATGAAACTGGTGTCCTGAAGTATACCGATATTTATCATCTAGAAATTGGTAAGTTGATGCACCAATTCCACAATTGTTGCCTGCCACAGGCATTTAATAACTATTTTGTCAAGCAAAGCAATGTTCACAATTATAACACTAGATCAGCATCCACTTCATCACTCCATGTACCTCGACAGACTTACACCAAAACGCAAAATTCACTCAAATATAAGGGTGTTGTTATGTGGAATGCTCTCCGTGCTGATTTACGAAGCATGTCATACCAACTTTTCAAATCAAATATGAAAAAGAATTTCGTGTCGACTTACTTCGAATGTTTGTAACAACCCGACCAAGATCTTTATTGTGGCTGCTTTTATGACACCACCTGAAAAAAAAATATAATGTGAAAGGTTATTGAATCACTGCAATGACCTAGTAATCACTGTATACTTGCAATAGTTAATATATTATGTCTTCATTACTTTACAGCAACAATCTTTCTCAATTTATAGCTCTTGTATCTTTATATGACAAACGTTCATTACTGTATTTACTTTAATGTAGTGAATGAGTTCATATCTGATTTCTGTAATTGAATCAATGCCCTGAGCATTGATGACACATGTTATTCATATGTTAAAAAGCAAACAAAACATGTCCTATTAACATTATTTTTTTGTCGACTTACTTCCAATTGTTTGAAACAATTTATCTCCTAAGTTGTTGTATTACTGTTTTCATACCCTCACCTAAAACAGAGTGAATAATGTTATTGAACTATTCCTAATGACCAAGTACTGTAAATATGGCTTAGCTGTGATAATTGACGTAATTATTGCATTACTAATTTTCTCATTACGCTGTCCTTATATGTTCAAACTGTTGTCCAGTGCAAATTATTCTTTTAATGGACCACGTCTGCATTGATATACAGTATATCACTGCAGCACTGAGTACCGTTACCGGTACCTACCACGTTACCGTATCTCGTTTAATTTAATTTTAGCGTCACAGATATTCCGTCTTTCTATTTAATGCTACAAGATTTTATTACCTGTTTTCTTTGCTCTCAATATCCACCGCGTCTAATTGAAAGCCAGTGTTACGCCTTCGGAATCTGACGTTAATTGGCGACTGTTAGACAATGCGCATCACAATACAGCAATAGTATTGTTGTGACACAGTCCATTAATACCATCTCCATGGTTACCAAGTTAGTGGTGTTCAGAGTCGTGTTTTGTTGAAGTGAGCGACTGTTGATTATAGCAGATTGCCTCGAGATATTGTATGCATTTTATTTTCCAATTTATTTACACTGTATTTGACTTTTTCTTCTTTATAATATAGTGTCCAGAGTTATTTTATAGGTGCCGCTGCTCGATAACCACCACTGATTTCCCGCGTCCTTTTCATCCTGTAACATGGCCTATTTATAATTCATTGCCATTTGCATGTTTGCGCCTATTTAAACTATGGTTATATATAAACTACTTATTAGTGTTTATAGTGTTCGCAATCAGGCTATTTCTAGACAATATATACAACACGTATCAGCATTTCAGACCTTTACTTACCCGATTAATCAGGGAATACCCTACGAGTTATCCGATGGGATGGGATTTTCAAACCTGTACCGGTACATTTTATTCTTAAAACATAACTTCCGAGTTTCCAAATTAAATTAGATGACGAATCTTGGGTGTCGCTGCTCGATAACCAAATTTGGTTCCCCGCGGCTTCCCTTCCCCAGTAAAAATGTGTGTTAAATTTTGTTTATCTTTTGATTTTGTATGTTATTTTTTTTGCTGGTTGGAAAAAATAAAATTGACTATGACTATGACTATGATATTGGCTTGTTTTGTGAATTGGTGATTTCTCCTCCGACCGCTGGAAAATAAATCGAAACTTTACTTTAGATTTTTGAACATCGAGCATTGAGAAGTCAAATTTATACGTGAAGGAAGAGTTCATTTAATTGTGCCACGCTTCCATAAACAAATAACTGGTTCAAGTAATTCCATACCCGACATGGACTGGTAACCGGACGAGATGCCGTGGTTCGCTATATCATTAAGTCGTCTTATCGGCTTTTCTCTCCCCTGAGATAAATAATTATGTAAATCCTATCCTAAGTAATGCGCGTCAAATATGCAGACGGATTTCGCTCGGTAACTCTGAAATGATTCGTTGATAATTGGGTCATGATAAAATTCGTCATGTTTTCCGAATAGGAGAGGAAATTCAATGAGGCGTGGCTCGGACCGATCGTCCGTTCACTAGTTAAGGTATGCTTTGAAAATAGCTAACATAGCCAGTTTATCGCTCCAAATTCCGCTGCAATTGTATGAAGCGATTTCGATGACCGTATATGGGTCGCATCGTTACAATCCACTCATATACCGAGAACTGTAATGTGTTTTTGTTTTTTATTATTATTATTTGTATCGCCATTACGTTTTCTGGTTGACAAATAAAAATTTTTTCTCTCTCTCATTATCACACAACCATACTCGGGATAAAAACCAGCAAACCCACGCCCACAGATTGAACTTGAACAATTACTGATTGAAAAACGACAAACCTGGTTGAGATATATTGAGCACCGACTTCACAGCAAAATTGAAATGGACAATCTTTATATTACTATCGCTGGCACAGTAAAAATGAGACTTACCTTTATTGCTTAACGTAGATGCCAGGACAGGTACTGATGTATTTGCAGTGGGTTTCAAGCTAACGCCAGACTTCGGTAAATACGTGTTCGCTTCGTTCTTTTCTGTTATTGATGTTGCGCTCGTTTCAATTTCTAACGTAGGAGTTGTTGGAACAGGCGCTGATGAAATTAGGAATATAAGATATAGACAATGAACAAATCAATAAATCAATCAATTTTCTTTTGGTCACTCTGAAAGAAACAAAACAACAACGAACGAACAAACAAAATGCAGAAGACCTGGAAAACGGGCATAACTTATTAAAAAAGTTGAAAACGTACAAGTACGTTCCCATCTACACAGAAACAGACAAAAGAACACACTAAAATAAAGACATGATGTAAAATCGGGCAATACCTTTTGAATCAATTTTAAAATGTGAGACACTGATCAAAAGAAGATCATGGCAATAATTTATACAAACTAGAATTTAAAAAAGTACGAAAAAGTTGTGGCTGCGGTTCTTATGTGGCGATTACAAATCAAATTGATCGTTCAGTGAACTTTTATTACATAACAAACATAAATCACGAATAAATGAACTATGTATGTGAGAAAATTGATGATGATACTGATTTGTCCTTTTACAGCGAACAAATCTGTAATGCAGGTCGAACGATTTCTCCATTCCCGCCAAGTCTAAATTCCCGACCAATAATATGATTTTTTCAGGCAGTTGTTGTACCTTATGCGATCGGAAATGACTACAGTTCATCGAATCTGGTGTTGTATTTTGGCATCTTGCGTTACCAGTCTTCCTGTATACGTGGCATCGTTTGGGTTCATCATTCTTGCATAACGGTGGATTAAATCCTGAATAAACTTCGTTGATATTGATCGTTAGAAATGAGTTCTTGATATATTTTGCTTTGCACATTTATAAAATTTTTTGTGGTGGCATTTGAAATGTATGTATGTATACCATAGAATAATTGTTAATATCATAGAAATGTGGAATGCAAACAAGCGCGATAAAGGTTCGTTACTGCTGCCGATATTTATATTATACTTGTTTCCTTGTATTAGGTCGATCGGTATGGTAAACACAATCAAAAGTATAAATGTTATATAAATTGTTAGAGAGGCGGTTCACTGCACTGCTTGCCGCAATTTCGCGAGCTGCAGTTTATTTATCTGCTGAACCGAGCTTAACTGCCATGAGTGATTTTTTTTATTATTTCGAAGAAAAATCAGGCAGAGTTGACCTTTTGTCTTTCGTCCTTCGACCTACATATTAACAACCTTCAAAAGGCATAAAAAACACATTAACGATCATCACAAAATTGTGAGTTTTATTCGAATGCAGCAATTTTTATTCGTGTAAGTGCGCCGTGAATTTTTTCCCTGATGATTTGGCGCCGCACGAACACAAAGTTTGGGACCCGCTGGGTTAGAGTAATTGGGTATGAGCCAGATTTTGATGTAAAAAAAAAACGTGACCAGAACTGACACACTGAATAGAACCTGCAAGTTCAAGATCAGTTTTTGGCCAATTTAGAGTTAAGGTCTTCATATAGAACAGTGGTTCTCCAACCTTTCAACCCGCGCCCCCTTTTAGAAATTGTCAAATATCGCGCCCCACCTTACAAATAAAAAGCTAAGAATAAGCTACAAATAACAGGTAATAAGGCGAAAATATGTTTTATTTAAAAAACACGTTAAAAATGTAGATGAAACGTACATATCCAAAAAAAGAAATGTAAATATCCGAAATGAGACGGCAAGATCAAATCTAACAAAATTTTTTATTTAACTTCACCCCCCCCCCCCCCCCCGCCTTTTAAAAATTGTCTACGCCCCCTTGTGCGGCGCGCCTCATCGTTTGAGAACCACTGATATAGATGGAAACTTCACACGCAAAAATGACTTAAGAATACTTTACTTACTACCGATTTGGATCTCCCCATAACACCTTTTATCTGGTTTTTGCAGTTGTATCCTTGTTATCTGCAAGGTCAGCAAAAATTCCTCATTCGAGACCCATGGCAGAGTCCAGACACAATTGTCATTTTTATCCGCACCGTGATAGCTTATCGTCCCTTCCAGACTTTGCCGTTGTAGATCGTTGGGACAGATTGAATAAACAACTCCTGTATGAATTGTGAAAAGAAACATGCTTGCAATGCTGTTCATATCGAACGGAAATGCGTGTATGATTATGCGGATTTATTACATTAGGATTAGAGCAATGGTCTGCAAAATGCGGGCCAAATTTTTTGTGGCCCTCGAACGACCTCACTTTTGAGGTATAAAACAAAAATATTATAGTATTATAGTGACTAGCGTAGACAAAAGCACATTGTATATCGTTTACTTGCTGAACGTGCCTGTCGTTAGTTGCATAACAAAGAAATAGGAGTTGAGACCGTGGGACTGGCAACGTTTTTGCACGGATCGCATTCAAAAAATTTCTTAATTGTTTCCTAAGACCATATCTTAAATTTGATTTACGGGGCTATGCATGTATATATTTTCCCTGTCAGATAGAAAACACGAAAGAAGCTAGACAAGGGGCGGACAAGGATTTCTTTTTTTTGCAAGGGCCGCGTTCAAAAAAAATTTTTTGCAAAGAGCCGCAGTGAGAAAAATACTCAAATTTTTCAAAAGACCATATCATAAAGTTACTTTTAGTTATCATGTGAAATATTCCAAATTAATTCCAGATTTTTAACGAAATATATATAAGATGCACGTTTGATTTATTACCTTAGGCAGGGACGGACAATATTTTTTGCACGGACCGCATTCAGAAAATCTTTAGTAATTAATTACCATTTAATGATCATGAAAAGAATTATTTCAATTCGACTGATGCATTTAATGTCTTTTATCGACCAATTCATCTTCATCGTAATTATAAATGAATTTTGAATATAAATCTAAACTTTGTTAGTAGTTGTAAGAAATCCTCATCGCCTACTCCAAAAGCATGAAAAAGACCGCACAGAGTGCTTTGACAGGCGTGGTTTGTCCATCCTTGTCCAGAAGTCAATTTGGGTATTGATAATTACCCAGAAGGTCAAAAAAAGCGAGAATTAAGAATGAAGAACAAGCTGACAATTGATAAGTATATTAACCGCACATGTACAAAAATTTGCGTTTTTTGAAAATTCACGTCTTAAAAAATATTGCCGAATTGCCATTTAAAAAGGATGAATCAAGGCCCAATCGAAAAAAAGTAGTTTTTTAAACTTTTCAGGTATAGTGGAACCCTAATGAAACATTTTAGACATTTAGAGGCTCTAGGAGCCCCTGAGCAATTGATTATTCATAAAATATGCCAATCAAACAAATGTGTTACACCTGTAGGTCTTTCACGGAAAACTATCAAAACGCGCTTATTACACATATCATAATATAGACTTCCGGATTTAAATATAAACTCGCGAACTTATGCACTGTACTAGCGGCATACTGTACTTCGCGTAACCCAGTTTAAAAACCACTGGATTAGGAAGTGGATGCATTATTCACCAAATATTGCATCAACAAAATTGGCTTCTTCGAACTATGCATCATTTTATTGTTTGCGGTAAGTACCTAACTATCAACCAGGAATATACTGCGGTATATGGTAGCCTACTGTTATTGTTACGTGATATGAGTTATCGTGACTTGCTCAACCGGTTATTCGAATTGTGAGTCTTTCTCGTATACTATTTGAATCATGCGTGCTGATTAAGTACATCAAATTAGGCATGTGGCTCGTAATCTTTACAACCAAACAGTTCCAAGAAATGACATAGGCAAGTAAAAATTTTTCTAACAATATACGTCGAACAAAAGAATCACATTTCGGAAAAATGACAGAATTCGGAAACTGCGGCAGAATTCGGAAATAGGTGTCGCTGCTCCATAACCAACGTTGGTTTTGTTTTTTTTTCCTAGTTTTTGTTCGCATCAAGTATATTTTTATTTTGGTGAGAATATACTGAGAACATACTACTGACTGACGGCTGATTATTACTGTAATTTAGAAGTATATAGTCGTGGTAAAATTACCTTAAACTATTTTTGTCGGTTTCATTTGTTTATTTATGATTACACTCACCTGAGGAACATATTATTACCGTGAACAACCGGAGGAATTCCATTGTACCTCTTCCAAAACTTGCCTATTTAATATTATTTTTTCAATATTGCTGCTTAAGATAAAAACCATTGAGAGAAATGACAAAAATATATTATATATACTTCGACAGGAGGTGAAAAGAAAAAAAATTCAGGCAAAATGAACGCTTATAGGTATAGAAATGTGAATAATATAGCAACGAGATTATTAAGAAACTTCTTTTATTGCATCATAATCGTTATGCTCAATGGTTGGGGTATAGTTAAAAATGCTTACCGTCACATCGCTGATTCCACCTGTCGGGCAGAATACAAGAGCGTAACCAGCCCAAAATCATTTTTCGGGAGGCCAATTTTTTGTATAATGACTTAATACGACGTTTACGCGTGCCTTTTACTCTGAACAAAGAGCTAAATAAACGCAGCCAATGGTATTGTAACAAATTAACCAATAATTTGGATAATGGAAGTCAAATTCTATATAATAATTGACGTAATCGAAATATTGAAGAGATCTTTCTAGTCTTTCTCGTGTATGAGAAAATGGATATTTTCCCATGTCGGGTGACCCATAAACAACCGAAATATTGAAGAGATCTTTCTAGATCATTCGAAATATTGAGTCTAGATCTTTCTCGTGTATGAGAAAATGGATATTTCCCATGTCAGGTAACCTATAAACAAGTGTAATTATTGTAAGAAGGGTACCGAACATTCTAGATATGAGCAAAAATTGCTCCGTGGGAAACGAGATTTTTGGATAATAAAGAAAGGTACCGTTTTTGGCGAGCGAGATGAAAAAGATGTTACCGTTTAAATAGACATTTGATCGTGGTTTTCACGGGCTTTTCTATTTCAATTCGTTCTATACAACAATGCTAATTCATCACCGACTTGGTTTTCACGATTGTGAGTGTGTTTTATTGTAAGTAAATTTATTGTGATATATTATCCGTGGAAATAAAAATCTTTACAGGCAAATTGGTCAGATCCTTACTGTTATATAAAATTAACAGATATCTCAATTTGAACACGTAACCTACTATATATTCTGTTTTTGGAGTCAGATACTTATCGAATTCGCTTAATTAGAAAGCAAAGACAGCAGAAGTTACAGTATCTAACAATATCCTAAAGCAGTGGTTGCCAATCTTTTTAGAGTTGGGACCCACTATTTATTACCACAGCTTGTGGCGACCCATTTAACTTGATGGTTTGAAAATCAGATAGTATAGAAATCGGTTAATAAAACTATATGTTTCTAGGATTATTACTCCGACATTACGGTTGTCCCGAAGCCTGACAGACAGACCCGTAGTAGTATATATATATTTACGGACAGACGTTTTGCATCACGTTTGATTAAACATGGCGACAATGGGAATTGTTTCAAACATTATTGCGTCACCATAGAGTGGGTATGAGTTATTACGCGTATGCTCTTTCGAAACATACTGTCACGTCATGTTTAAAATTCCAGTTGCTTTGTTATAAGTTGTAACACCACGATTTTAATGCTTATTATAAAACAGAATCGAAAGTTTAAGCCGTTAAATAACACTGTTGCCGCATGAGAATAAATTGAAGCAGCAATAAAAATAGAATCTGTTTTCTCAAATAGAATCTGTTTTCTAAGCAGAGGGGAAACACAAATACCAGAATAAGATTTAGATGCGAAAGAAATTGCGTTTTCTTTGCGACTCTTGTACTTAACCATTCTTGCACTTTTGAGCTTGTAGCACGAGTCCTGATATCACGATATCGTCATCAGGATAGAAATAATTCATTCGAAAAACGCTGTTTGTCGCTGTCACAAAAGCCATCAATATGCAAGGTTTTGTAGAGAGAGCGCTCTCGTTGCAAGAAATGCATTGGGTGAGGAAGATATGGATAGAATGATAGTCATACAAGATGGAAGTCATAGAAGCTGGAGACCTTTACGAAATTGATCATGTTGTGTCTAAAAAACTAACTTTCGGTTTTCACTTCCTTGAATTAAAAAAATTATATTAAGCCTCAGCATAGTTACTGTCTATATCGCGCCAAACACGGATGCCATACAGTGCTTTTGATAATAGAATTTATTCCATAACTATAAGACATAGGTTGTGGAGAACCGACGAAACAGAAACCCATTATCAGTTCAGTTCGATATAGGAATAGTTAATCACTCTATTTGTTTTATGTATATGCACGGTCTTCGGTGCTGAATGAAGCAATAACTGAACAGAAGTATAGCGTAAATCACCCTGTGACATCGAGAAATATTATGCATATAATATATATAAATATTCCCCGTGTATTCAGGCGTAGGCATGGAGGATCACATAAATTCTCACGCCTTTTCCAACACAATTTTGCTCTATTTTTGAATAGTTTACTGGAAACCGGACCCGGACGTTTCCTGGCTTTCTATCAAATGTGCGCCTATATACGTTGTTGAATAACTTTGGCAGCGAAGTATGTCTGATTGTCTGTAGAGAGATTCTTTAGCAGCGGTTCCCAAACTATGGGTCGCGACCCACTGGTGGGTCGCAAAAGGAATCTCAGTGGGTCATGAAATGATGTAGGAAGCTTTGATTAATTATACTGATTATTAGGATCGGTATACGTAAATACACAAAATAATACGTAAATCTTAAAAAAAAAACAAAAGAAATTGAATTTAAATTATAATCTGTGAAAGTTTCCTTTTTACAATCTTCTCAAAAGAACAAAAATTTGCTACACAAAGAATGACCATGTGTCTTTTTCACGCATAGCAGTTTTGTACACTGTATAGCACTTCTTACCGTATTTCCCCGACATTTGATTTTATTAAAGTTAAATGGGTCGCCACAAGCTGTGGTAATAAATAGTGGGTCCCAACTCTAAAAAGATTGGCAACCACTGCTTTAGGATATTGTTAGATATCATTGGCTGCGTTTATTTAGCTCTTTGTTCAGAGTAAAAGGCACGCGTAAACGTCGTATTAAGTCATTATACAAAAAAATGGCCTCCCGAAAAATGATTTTGGGCTGGTTACGCTCTTGTATTCTGCCCCACAAGAGGAAATCAGCGATGTGACGGTAAGCATTTTTAACTATACCCCAACCATTGAGCATAACGATTATGATGCAATAAAAGAAGTTTCTTAATAATCTCGTTGCTATATTATTCACATTTCTATACCTATAAGCGTTCATTTTGCCTGAATTTTTTTTCTTTTCACCTCCAGTCGAAGAATATATATAATATATTTTTGTCATTTCTCTCAATGGTTTTTATCTTAAGCAGCAATATTGAAAAAATAATATTAAATAGGCAAGTTTTGGAAGAGGTACAATGGAATTCCTCCGGTTGTTCACGGTAATAATATGTTCCTCAGGTGAGTGTAATCATAATCATAAATTAACAAATGAAATCGACAAAAATAGTTTAAGGTAATTTTACCACGACTATATACTTCTAAATTACAGTAATAATCAGCCGTCAGTCAGTAGTATGTTCTCAGTATATTCTCACCAAAATAAAAATATACTTGATGCGAACAAAAACTAGGAAAAAAAAACAAAACCAACGTTGGTTATGGAGCAGCGACACCTATTTCCGAATTCTGCCGCAGTTTCCGAATTCTGTCATTTTTCCGAAATGTGATTCTTTTGTTCGACGTATGTTGTTAGAAAAATATTTACTTGCCTATGTCATTTCTTGGAACTGTTTGGTTGTAAAGATTACGAGCCACATGCCTAATTTGATGTACTTAATCAGCACGCATGATTCAAATAGTATACGAGTACGACTCACAATTCGAAGAACCGGTTGAGCAAGTCACGATAACTCATATAACGTATATACAACAACAGTAGGCTACCATATACCGCTGTTATAACTGGTTGATAGTTATGTACTCACTGCAAACAATAAAATGATGCCTATTTCGATGAAGCCAATTTCTTATATATATATATATATATGCACTATTCGGTGAGTCACGATTGGCACTGTGACGAAAATATCCATATTTTAACGCCAGGGCCAACCTTTTTCGTTAAATTCCCCCTTGTCCTATTTTGAATTTTGACAAGTGTAGCGTAGACAATTTTTAGGGGCCGCGAAGCTAATTAAAAATAAATATTTTTTAGACTTGACCTTATTTTGAATATTTACGCTCCATCCACGTATTTTCTACGTGTTTTCCGCCTTACTGTCTGTCATTTGTAGAATGTTGTTGGCTGATTATTATTGAGGTGGGCACGAGATATGACGAATTCTAAAAAGAGGGTGGCGGCTTGAAAAGTTTGAGTTTGAAACCACTGCTTTAACAGGATCCTTAGCTTACATGCACGAGTCCCCTCCTGTTTTTGTATAAATAAGTAAGCATAAATCTTGGCATTCAATCCTTTCTGCTCAAGACAATAATGACCTGGTGCAAGATACCCTTTTACTAACCCCTTCATCTGGGATTAGGTATTGTTAGTTCTGTTAAATATTTATACTTAACACTTTATACTTAACAACCCGCAATCGACGAACGTTTGAGCGTGCCATCAAGATAAAAATAAATTCGCGTATTCAAAGACGCATTTGCGTCCAATGTGAACGGTATTGTAGTAATCTTTCTTTTTAAAATTCATGTAGGACTCGTTCATTCATTCTGTTCTAATGACCGACCACAGCATAAACAAAGCATCGTCCCCGTAGTCGGTGGACTGGAAGTTAGGGGGACGATTACATATAGTGGAACGGACCTGAATGACAGTTGTGTTTGGACTATACCATCAGTTTCGAATAAAGAATTTTTGCTGGCGTTACAAATAACAAGGATAAATATGCAAAGACCAGATGAAGCGTGTTATGGGGAAATACAAATCGGAGGTGAGAAATTTAATACTTAATTTTGTGTCCTGTTCACGGTTTGAATAGTTTACAATGTGTCTGTATATATATATATATATTACAGTAAGACTAAATAAACCAGGTATATTAGTGATACTACACCCAGATAACATTTATTGCACCCATTCAATTGCTCATTTTTATGACAACAAATACACTGCGCAAATTTGGGTACCCCTGAAGTATGCGTACTAAGATGGCGGACACCGGAACGTAGTATGTGTACCATGTTAAGATTAGGCCATAATTTCAGTTACAAATACTACGGTAGTCACTTGGCTAGTCCCCGAACTCGTAGTAGAACTAAAATAAGGAAAATTGGGATCAAATTATGGTCTAACTCTAACCTGGTACACATACTACCTTCCGGTGTCCGCCATCTTGATACGCATACTTCATGAATACCCAAATTTCAAATGACACCATGGGAAAATTTATGATTTTGCAAAGCAGCAATGAATCGTCAATTCATTTCAAACGCTCAATATCATCAAAGTTTATTCAGAACTTAATCCACCGTTATGCAAGGATGATGAACCAACACGATGTCACGTATACGGGAAGGCTGGTAACGCAAGATGCCAAAATACAACACCAGATTCGATGAACTGCCCCGGTTTCCGATCTCATAAAGTACAACAACTGCCTAAAAAAATCAGATTATTGGTCGGGAATTTAGACTTGGCGCAAATACAGAAATCGTTCGACCTGAATTACAGATTTATTCCCTGTAAAAGGATGAGTTAGTATCATTATTGCTTATTTCATCTGATCCTACGTTTCTCAGTCGGGAATTCCTCCCCAGGGAGGAAGTTTGTCGTTCTTGAGGAAAAATGTTGGTACTCCCGAAATATGTGAACCGAGATAGCGGACACCGGAACATAGTATGTGTACAAGGTTAGGATTAGGCCATAATTTCAGGTACAAATACTACGGGAATCGCCAAGCTAGTCCCCGAACTCGTAATAGAACTAAAATATAGAAAATTGGAATAAAATTATAGCCTAACCCTAACCTGGTACACATACTACGTTCCGGTGTCCGCCATCTTAGTTCCCATACTTCGAGAGTACCCGAAATTCCTCTACCTCATTTCGGAAATCGAAGTACTGTTGTGTACTTGCTTCATAGCTTGTTGTTTTCCCCATGGGCTAGATTTGTGATTAGCATGTCACAATTGTTTTCTCGTAATTGCTCCTTGCTTTCACCTGTCTGCGTGCTTGTTATTCATTCCCATGTAAAGTATCTAGCGTTAAGCTGTGTTATACTGATGAATATAAACTGTAATATTTCTGTCTACTGGTATTTTGGTAATACCCAAGACATGACAAGTACCGTATTATTCACCTAACATTGCTTACTAGAAATATAGAATACTAGAGATCAAAACAAAGATAGGATCAACAAATGGGCAGGGAAGCCGTCACTTCAACTGTGGATAATACATTGCCTCTTTCTTATATTCTTATATACCCCCCTTTGTTTTCCAATAAGCGTATGGCTAGAACGCATGATATCAATTCATTGATATCATTCAATTTTTGTATCTATGTTTTACATTCACTTGCTTATTTAAACGTAGTCTTTTATGCTTTGGAAATAAATAAAAACTTTTTCAGTTTGAATTTTGCAGAATTAGCGCTAGCGCTAATATTTAACTTTAATTTTATCAGTGACTGTTTCAACAACTTCTACGTTAGAAATTGAAACGAGCGTAACATCAATAACAGAGGAGCGGGCGGCGGAGGACTCTTATTCATCGACGCCAGGCGTTAGCTTGAAATCAACTGCAAACACATCAGTATCTGTCTTGATATCTACATTAAGCAATAAAGGCAAGTCTCATTTCTTAATCCATAAAGTCCTTTCACAATTGTAGTTATGTTATGAAGTCAGTTCTCAATATAATATCTTACCCAGGTTTGTTGTTTTTAATCAGTAATTGTTTTAAGTATTTTTACTTAATTTAATATATCTGTGAGGGAAAAAACAATATATTATATGATATCGATGAATATCCTTCGCAATTTTGAAAAAATTTGGGATTTTATGGACACCCTATATAATTAATATCATTATATCTGAAAATATGAAATATATAGTTGAAAATTACCATTAAAAATCATCGCGCTGCTGATTACCCATCGTGGGTTTGCAGGTTTTTATCCTGAGTATGGTTGTATGTGAGAGTAGAGAGAGAATTTATTATTTTCGCCTAACCAGAAAACGTGATGACTATACAAAAAATAACATTAAAAAAAAAAATTTATCAGTACTGTTATTAGTAACATTTGTTAGTCAAGTCCATGCTTCCGAAAACAAACAATATAACTAATCCCATACCCGACTTGGAATGGTAATCGGACGAGAGGCCGTGGTACGCCATATGGATAAGCCGTCTTATCGGCTTTCCTCTCCCCCGGGATAAATATGTAAATGTAAATACTGTTTTCAGTATTTGACTGCATGGGTGGTAACGATACGACCCATATACGGCCATCATGCAATTGCAGCAAGATTTTGGTATGATAAACTGGTTTAGTTAGGTATTTTCCGAGCATACCTGAACCGATAAACGCACGATAGGTTCGAGCCACGTCTAATTGAATTTCCTCTTCTACTCGGAAAACATGACGAATTTTATAATTAGCCAATTATCAACAAATCATTACTTAATAATTACCGAGCGAAATCCATCTGCATATTTGACGCGCATTACTCGGGATAGGATTTACATATTTATCCCCGGGAAGAAGGAAAAGGCGATAAGACGACTTAGTGATATAGCGAACCACGGCCTCTCGTCCGGTGACCAGTCTATGTCGGGTATATATGGAATTAGTTGAACCATTTATTTGTTTATGGAAGCGTAGCACAATTAAATGAGCTCTGCCTTCACGTATAAATTTGACTTCTCTATGCTCGATTATCAAAAATCTAAAGTAAAGTTTCGATTTATTTTCCAGCAGTCGGAGGAGAAATCACCAATTCACAAAACAAGCCAATATCCGATAATACAAAAAATATCTCAGGATCGTATCTACCATTCATAATTGCCATTGCTATACTCAGCATTATTCTTGTCCTCGCGTGCATAGCGATTTGTGTTGGATACTTCAGGTATGTATCCAATGGTGAGATTCAGGGGATTCGCACTGGCCGCGGACCCGTTATTGAATAATTTCTGTTTTCGACGTTAGAGTTCGGCGATCTCAGCAAATGGCTTACATGAACGCACCACAGATGCAGTGTTATATTTGTGTGACTCTTGTCAACACCCGGATTTAATCAAATCCGACAGTTAATCTTTAAAAAGGCTCTCACATGGTTAAAAATACATAATGTTATTTTGCTCTTTCCGTTGCATTGAATCTTTCGTCGTTTTGCACTGTGCTTTCAATATTGCAAGGCTAGGTGATAGTCGCACTCTCTTTTTGTGTGGCCCAGCTGCATGACTGAAGTTGGTCATATGGCTCACTGACAAAATATGTTGCAAACCCCTGGTCTAACGATTTAACGTTCAACTGCTCAGCCATCGCGCCCAATATTTGCGATACGGAAGTTTTTAAATAGCTTTGCAATTTTGTCGACTCGTTTGGAGCTCTTTCTATATTTTTTCAGGTATGTTCGGACAAAGCCTGTTACATCGACATCTGACGCACAAAATGGCGAGATAGATAATCCTGAAAATGAAATTAACGTTTATTCTGAGGTTAAGTTGAACGACAATTTAGCGAAAGAAGTAAATTCACCAGAACTTGTTCAAAATGTTCTTTACGAATCCTATTAAGTCTCTCCACATCTAAAGTTTCGAAAGACTCGGCATCGGGGTCGCCAAGGACGTACCGTTGAAGTATTTTCAGGAGACGTTTTTACACTTTCACTCCAAGTCTCTGATACGCAGGAAGTGGTGGGTTGAATGTATCAGATTTATAGTTTCAAATTTTAATATCTATTGTTCAACTTATTCTCAGAAACGTTAACCTATAGGTGCCGATACAGCACTACCTTGCAATAATATACGGAGAATTCCCAAATTCTAATAAATAACAAGGTTTATTATTGCATTGCATTGTTTTTAGTAGTCTTGGGGTCTCAAAAACATTTCAAGCCACGGAAAATTACTATCTATGATACAAAAAGGGCTACGCCACTGCTGTTCTCGCATAAAAACGTTTCGCGCTGTGCAAATTTTGTAGCCATAAGTTTTAAGCTATTTTAAGTAGACCGAATAGTCATTTCGCGGTTATCCTGCCTTTCGGCACACAAATTTTGTCATATATCTTGTTTTCATTTTGTTATGCTTTGCCGGAATGGCTAATAAAAACAATTTGATTGATTTTCCAAATGTAAGTTGACTGGAAGACTGGTCCAACCGGCGGATAATTATTTCCTGAGGTTCTTATATACAGCTTCAAAATTTCATTGTATATCGAAAGGACGCAAATGAATCTAAAAAACCTAAATGCCTTGTATTAGATGTTTATGTCTATCTTGTCTTATTTCTTCGCTCATTCTATTTCTTTCTGAGTCGTGTGGCGTCATGAACTGGCCCCGATGTACGAGATTTCGTTTTACAACCGTCTCCCACCCTGATCATTCTATTATGCAGATTTACTGCTATTTGTTTGTATTTAGATTGTATTATAATGGTAGGGTAATTAGAATGATGATTAAGGCATCTTTTTTTTGTTAATCTGGCGGGATTATTCGATATGAAGCGGCACAATCCATGACACAGTCATTGCCAGCGAGTGCATCAACTTTAAAGCAGCACCGCTTGATGCTTGTAGCTAGAGTTGCCAACTATGAAAAGTCTCAATAAAGGACATAGATTACCATCATCATTTATTTTGTAACTTGCAGGAAAGAACAATATAAAACAATGAAACACAAATTATAGTCTATACAAGCTAAAAAAATATATTAAAAAATCTTCATTTGTTTTTCATTTAATGTTTATTTAACATTGACCCAATCAAGCTGCATTTCAGCATTCTGTGAACAGTTTAGTGCTTTGAATCGTGTCAAATTTTTTTTGAATGAGTGCAACTTTATCAAATTGGTCAAACATATTCAAATTAAGTTTGTTTTTTAGCTTCATATGCTCTACAATTTTTACAAGTGTCTGATATTTCGGAGAAAGATTATCCAAAAGTGATAATTTTCCAAATGTTAAATTTTCATCGGAGTCAAATCTTTTTTCCAAATACGTTATCGCAGAGTTGAGAAATAATCTAAAATCTTAGATACCAATTATACGTAGAATTTTCAGTTATTGAACTAGAATTCACTCAAATCTTGGAGTGTTGCACTTGCCATCTTCGGAAAATTAATGTAAAATATTTGAAATTGTTAATAAAATTGGTATTTCTTGCCTATTGGCTATTTGTGCCGTACCAAAGCGAAATTAAAAAGAATAATTAAAAGCTTGCAAATACAGAAACGGAGGCGATTAAAGAACGAAACAATATCAAACACAGTACTATAACTATCGGGCAAAACGACGTTGGAAAAAATAAAGGACAATTATCATCTTAAAAAGGACAAGGACAAAAATCTCAAATAAAGGATTGTCCTTTGAAATAAAGGACGGTTGGCACCCTATGCGTGCCCATGAACGATAAAAAAACAAAGATAAAGTAAGAAAAAAAAACAAAGAAAGCAAACAAAGATTAGATTAATCCCTAAAACCATGCAATTTCTGAATGAAGTATTCAAAATAGAACAGTTATCGCTCGCACACAACTTGAATTGCCGAACATCTGATATCCGAAGTATTTCTACGGATGACGCCTAATTAGCAACAAGATGAAGATGATAGTATTTTCACAAAACAAAATTAGCACTTTTTTCAGTCAGACTTCGACAATTTCAACTTGCTCATCTTTTTGTTGAAGACTACCTGTCACTCTGCTGAGTCTGCTCTGATAAATTAATAGAGTCGCTAGCTTCAGATTTCACAGAAACAAGTCGATTGTGATGAGGCTACAATTATGACATGTATAGCGCCGGTAACAAATCCAGACTTGCTGGTAATGAATTATATCTGCCGTTAATCATCGATGAAAAATTAAAATGCAGCTATCACTCACTATATGAGACTACAATAAAGAAAGTATGGAGTTGTACAAATTCAAATATAATCCTACATTGCCTAATAACTGGCCTGCTACAAGCATCAAGCGGTGTTGATTCAAATTTGATGCACTCGCTGGCAACGACTGTGTCAGGGATTGTGCCGCTTCATATCGAATAATCCCGCCAGATTAACAAAAAAAAGATGCCTGAACTATCATTCTAATTACCCTGCCATCATAATACAGTTTAAATACAAACTTAAAGACTCAGGCAGGCATGCCAACGGAGTAGAATAGCAGTAAATCTATATAACGGAGTGGTCAGAGTGGGCGACGGTTGTAAATCTCGCACATCGGGGCCAGTGCATCACGCCACACAACTCAGAAAGAAATAGAATGAGCGACCAAGAAATAAGACAAGATATATATATAATAAATCACGCGAGGCATGTAAGTTTTTTAATTGCATGTGCGGTTTTTCGATATATATACAATGAAATAATGAGGCTGCTTATAAGAACCACAGGAGATAATTATCCATCGGTTGGACGAGTCTTCCAGTCAACTTACATTAGAAAAGTTTGAAAATATAAATCTGATACAGTCAACGCCACCACTTCCTGCGTATCAGAAATTTGGGGTGAAAGTGTAAACACGTCTCCTGAAAATACTTCAACTGTACGTCCTTGGCGACCCCGATACCGAGTCTTTCAAAACTTTAGATGTGGAGAGACTTAATAGGATTCGTACAGAACATTTTGAACAAGTTCTGGTGGATTTACTTCTTTCGCTAAATTTTCGTTCAACTTAACCTCAGAATAAACGTTAATTCCATCTTCGGGATTATCTATCTCGCCATTTTGTGCGTCAGATGTCGATGTAACAGACTTTGTCCGAACATACCTAAAAAAATATAGAAAGAGCTTCAAACGAGTAGACAAAATTGCAAAGCTATTTAAAAACTTCCATATCGCAAATATTGGGCGCGATGGCTGAGCAGTTGAACGTTAAATCGTTAGACCAGGGGTTTGCAACATTTTTTGTCAGTGAGCCATATGACCAACTTCAGTCAACCAGCTGGGCCACACAAAAAGAAAGTGCGACTATCACTTAGCCTTGCAATATTGGAAGCACAGGGCAAAACGACGAAAGATTCAATGCAACGGAAAGAGCAAAATAACATTATGTATTTTTAACCATGTGAGAGCCTTTTTCAAGATTAACTGTCAGATTTGAATAAATCCGAGTGTTGACAAGAGTCTAGGCTTGCACGTAATTTACGGATTTACGGAATTACGGAATTATTTCGAGTTACGGAAGCGAAGTTACGAATTACGTAAAGTCGTAATTATTGGTCGAGCGCTTTCGCGATTGAAACGAGCTCTCTTCAGAGCAGTCAATTCCGTCGATTGTAAAAAATTAAGTTTAATAAGTAGAAGAAGTTAGAGTTCCGGTATTAGCAGCCGTTTTTCTCTCTCTTGTTACGCAGGTGGGAAAGGCATAACGCGTTGCCATTTACTAACCTATTATCAACTTACCTAGCATGGCCAAAGTACATATTAACCGTAGATAAGGGATAGAATTGTGTTGAGACCGATGGACGTCAACACACCTGGTTTCAACTTCTTCGGGTGAAATGACTAAAGAATGTAAGAGATCAACTTATAAAACATCGTCTATTTGTAAATGCCGTGATAATTAATGTCGCGCTTATCAAACAACAATATGACGACGGAAGAGAAATTGCGTAATAAACCAACGCAACTTACTTAGGCAGTTTTTTCGGCATCGGTAAATCGATTAAGACGACAGAGAAAACGAAACGACGGGATTTCCCGTATTTATTCTGCGCGAGAACCATTTTCTATTACAAAATCTTGATGTTCTGTTACCGGTTTTATCGTTATATATCTGTCCAGACTTGGCCTTGCTCAATATGTTTTTCACAATGCCTCGCAATATTTTGACCAAATATGATTAACTGTCTTTACCGAAAGCGGCAACTTATTTTGATTTATCGTCGACTCGAATACCGCCGGCACTCGACCAAACTTGTGTCAATCTTGGCCGATAGGATTGTCGACTTCAGTTGGAAAAATAAATTAATATTTTCGTGAGTGCAAAATAAATGTCACAAAATGCATTGTTTTGCGATATAACTGTGTATTTTCGGAGAAGGCATGTCATATAAGTACGATATTTAAATTTTGCGCAAATAATTAATATTTGATCTGAATTTATCGCGAATAATGTTATAACATTTAGGCCGCGAAATGATTTAATGTAAAATGAAGCATGGTAATCGGAATATCGTCAATAAGTCGGCATCAATAATTATTATAAAATTCTAACTAAGTAGTAAAGTCGGATATTGTAAAAAAACGGTGAAATAACTAGTCTGATTATTAAATTATAAATCTGGAATTTTTATTTAATACGAAAGTCGTATTAATACGTTAATACGATTTTAAAAAGTCAACTATCGTTTCATAAATATCCGTATACCAGTGTTGGTAATGATAAAATTGATCGCATGAAATTGGGTGATAAAGGAAAATCAAAGCTAACACAAAAGATAAAAATCAGAATAAAATTAATTTGAATTCACTCCTTGATATTTGTCTTAAACATCTGTCGCCGGCGTGTAGTACTGCCGGGAATATGAAAACCAAACTTCGATGTCCCATTCGGAATAGAAGTGGATTCAATTGGTTGTTATCATAGGTTTAAATGTGTGAAAAAAATATCGCAATTACGGGGTCATTACGTAATCGATTTGGCCGTAATTACGGAATTGATTTTTGTCAATTACGTGCAAGCCTACAAGAGTCACACAAATATAACAATGCAGCTGTGGTGCGTTCATGTAAGCCATTTGCTGAGATCGGCGAACTCTAACGTCGAAAACAGAAATTATTCAATAACGGGTTCGCGGCCAGTGCGAATCCCCTGAATCTCACCATTGGATACATACCTGAAGTATCCAACGCAAATCGCGATGCACGAGAGGATAAGAATAATGCTGAGTATAGCAATGGCAATTATGAATGGTAGATACGATCCTGCGATATTTTTTGTATTATCGGATATTGGCTTGTTTTGTGAATTGGTGATTTCTCCTCCGACCGCTGGAAAATAAATCGAAACTTTACTTTAGGTTTTTGAACATCGAGCATAGAGAAGTCAAATTTATACGTGAAGGCAGAGCTCATTTAATTGTGCCACTCTTTCATTTACAAATAACTGGTTCAACTAACTCCATACCCGACATGGACTGGTAACCGGACGAGATGCCGTGGTTCGCTATATCATTAAGTCGTCTTATCGCCTTTTCTCTCCCCTGAGATAAATAATTATGTATATCCTATCCTAAGTAATGCGCGTCAAATATGCAGACGGATTTCGCTCGGTAACTATGAAATGATTCGTTGATAATTGGGTCATGATAAAATTCGTCGCGTTTTCCGAATAGAAGAGGAAATTTAATGAGGCGTGGCTCGGACCGATCGTCCGTTCACTGGTTCAGGTATGCTTTGAAAATAGCTAACAAAGCCAGTTTATCGCTCCAAATTCCGCTGCAATTGTATGAAGCGATTTCGATGACCGTATATGGGTCGCATCGTTACAATCCACTCATATACCGAGAACTATAATATATGTTTTTGGTTTTTATTATTATTATTTGTATCGTCATTACGTTTTCTGGTTGACAATTAAAAAAATTCTCTCTCGCTCTCATTATCACACAACCATACTCGGGATAAAAACCAGCAAACCCACGCCCACAGATTAAACTTGAACAATTACTGATTGAAAAACGACAAACCTGTTTGAGATATATTGAGCACCGACTTCACAGCAAAATTGAAATGGACAATCTTTACGTTACTATCGCTGGCACAGTAAAAATGAGACTTACCTTTATTGCTTAAGGTAGATGTCAAGACAGGTACTGATGTATTTGCAGTGGGTTTCAAGCTAACGCCAGACTTCGGTAAATACGTGTTCGCTTCGTTCTTTTCTGTTATTGATGTTGCGCTCGTTTCAATTTCTAACGTAGGAGTTGTTGGAACAGGCGCTGATAAAATTAGGAATATAAGATATAGACAATGAACAAATCAATAAATCAATCAATTTTCTTTTGGTCACTCTGAAAGAAACAAAACAACAACGAACGAACAAACAAAATGCAGAGGACCTGGAAAACGGGCATAACTTATTGAAAAAGTTAAAAACGTACAAGTACGTTCCCATCTACACAAAAACAGACAAAAGAACACACTAAAATAAAGACATGATGTAAAATCGGGCAATACCTTTTGAATCAATTTTAAAATGTGAGACACTGATCAAAAGAAGATCATGGCAATAATTTATACAAACCAGAATTTAAAAAAGTACGAAAAAGTTGTGGCTGCGGTTCTTATGTGGCGATTACAGGTCAAATTGATCGTTCAGTGAACTTTGATTACATAACAAACATAAATCACGAAAAAATGAACTATGTATGTGAGAAAGTTGATGATGATACTGACTTGTCCTTTTACAGCGAACAAATCTGTAATGCAGGTCGAACCATTTCTCCATTCCCGCCAAGTCTAAATTCCCGACCAATAATGTGATTTTTTCAGGCAGTTGTTGTACCTTATGCGATCGGAAATGACTACAGTTCATCGAATCTGGTGTTGTATTTTGGCATCTTGCGTTACCAGTCTTCCTGTATACGTGGCATCGTTTGGGTTCATCATTCTCGCATAACGGTGGATTAAATCCTGAATAAACTTCGTTGATATTGATCGTTAGAAATGAGTTCTTGATATATTTTGCTTTGCACATTTATAAATTTTTTTGTGGTGGCATTTGAAATGTATGCATGTATACCATAGAATAATTGTTAATATCATAGAAATGTGGAATGCAAACAAGCGCGATAAAGGTTCGTTACTGCTGCCGATATTTATATTATACTTGTTTCCTTGTATTTGCGCAATTGTATTAGGTTGATCGGTATGGTAAACACAATCAAAAGTATAAATGTTATATAAATTGTCAGAGAGGCGGTTCACTGCACTGCTTGCCGCAATTTCGCGAGCTGCAGTTTATTTATCTGCTGAACCGAGCTTAACTGCCATGAGTGATTTTTTTCATTATTTCGAAGAAAAATCAGACAGAGTTGACCTTTTGCCTTTCGTCCTTCGACCTACATATTAACAACCTTCAAAAGACATAAAAACACATTAACGATCATCACAAAATTGAGTTTTATTCGAATGCAGCTTCGTGTAAATGCCCCGTGAATTTTTTCCCTGATGATTTGGCGCCGCACGAACACAAAGTTTGGGACCCGCTGGGTTAGAGTAATTGGGTATGAGCCAGATTTTGATGTAAAAAAAACGTGAGCAGAACTATGACACACTGAATAGAACCTGCAAGTTCAAGATCAGTTGTTGGCCGATGTTAGAGTTTATTATTATTATTATATTATTATTTTAATGGTGCTTATAACTGGCTTAGTTTTTTGCACCAGGACTGTGATATTAAGCGTTTGGTGCTCAAATGCTTCGATGTTAGAGTTAAGATATACATATAGATCAGTGGTTCTTAAACTTCTCAAGCCACGCCCTCTTTTTAGAAATTGTCAAGTCTCGCGCTCTGCCTCACAAATAACTAGCTAACAATAAGCTACAAATAACAAACAGTAAAGCAATAGTATATAATAGTATATATTTATAAAAAACGTTGAAAATACTTGGTTGAAACGTAATTATCCAAATATAGAAATGTGAATATCCAAAGTAAGACGGACAAGATCAATCTAACAAAACTTCACGCTTAAATGACTTAATAATACTTTACTTACCACCGATTTGGATCTCCCCATAACACGTTGTATCTGGTCTTTGCATTTGTATCCTTGTTATCTGTAGGGTTAGCAAATATTCCTCATTCGAGACCAATGGCAGAGTCCAAACACAATTGTCATTTTTATCCGCACCGTGATAGCCTTTTTTTCCCTTTCAGACTTTGCCGTTGTTGATCGTTGGGACAAATTGAATAAACAACTCCCGTATGAATTGTGAAAAGAAACATGCTTGCAATGCTGTTCATATCGGACGGAAATGTGTGTTTGGATATGCGGATTTATTACATTAGGCTTAGAGCAATGGTCTGCAAAGTGCGGGTCAAATTTTTTATGGCCCTCGAACGACCTCACTTTTAAGGTATAAAACAAAAATATTGTACGGTGTTTGTTTTATAGTAACTAGAGTAGACAAAAGCACATTGTATATCGTTTACTTGCTGAACGTGCCTGCCGTTAGTTACATAACAAAGAAATAGGAGTTGAGACCGTGGGACTGGCAACGTTTTTGCACGGATCGCATTCAAAAAATTTCTTAATTGTTTCCTAAGACCATATCTTGAATTTGATTTACGGGGCTATGCATGTATATATTTTCCCTGTCAGATAGAAAACACGAAAGAAGCTAGACAAGGGGTGGACAAGGATTTCTTTTTTCGCAAAGGCGCGTTCAAAAATTTTTTTTTGCAAAGGGCCGCAGTGAGAAAAATACTTCATTTTTCCAAAAGATCATATCATAAATTTACCCTTAGTTATCATGTGAAATATTCCAAATTAAACATTTTTAACGAAATATATATAAGATGCACGTTTGATTTATTACCTTAGGCAGGGACGGACAATATTTTTTGCACGGACCGCATTCAGAAAATCTTTAGTAATTAATTACCAGTTAATGTTCATGAAAAGAATAATTTCAATTCGACTGATGCATTTAATGTCTTTTATCGACCAATTCATCTTCATCGTAATTATAAATGAATTTTGAATATAAATCTAAACTTTGTTAGTAGTTGTAAGAAATCCTCATCGCCTACTCCAAAAGCATGAAAAAGACCGCACAGAGTGCTTTGACAGGCGTGGTTTGTCCATCCTTGTCCAGAAGTCAATTTGGGTATTGGTAATTACCCGGAAGGTCAAAAAAAAACCGAGAATTAAGAATGAAGAACAAGCTGACGTGTGTTACGGCTATGGGCAAAAAATTGTTATCACGCGAGTTTTTGCGAAACGAGGTTTTTTCACCTTGGTATTAATCAATATACAATGCTTCTCGCACACCAGCTTTCTCTTCTCGGAGGCCCTTAAACCTTCACGCTCTTTTTGCTTGACAATTTCGGTAATATCCTTGGGACCCAAGTTTATTAGACCCATTTATTTATTAGTGTTGTAGTCAATAGACATGCATGCTTCTCTCTGTATTTCGTAGACGTGGTTTTGTTGTTCACGTTACTAATAATTCGCCGGTGCAGGCCCGATTAAATAATGGAATGTATTGCTATTCAGAAGATACAGCACCTGTCCTGAACGCGTCACGAATACAGAAAAAATCAAACAGTATTTATCCCGTAAGTAGGCAGTAAAATGGTTCCATGCGTTCGATCATTATTGACTTGAGCAAAAATGTAATAAAGACAAAACTAATGCGTTGAGTGGCCGTTTAGTTTTTAGTTTATATTTATTTATTTTTTTTAACTTTTTAGGTAGCGTGGAACCCTAATGAAACATTTTAGACATTTAGAGGCTCTAGGAGCCCCTGAGCAATTGATTATTCATAAAATATGCCAATCAAACAAATGTGTTACACCTGTAGGTCTTTCACGGAAAACTAGCAAAACGCGCTTATTACACATATCATAATATTGACTTCCGGATTTAAATATAAACTCGCGAACTTATGCACTGTACTAGCGGCATACTGTACTTCGCGTAACCCAGTTTAAAAACCACTGGATTAGGAAGTGGATGCATTATTCACCAAATATTGCATCAACAAAATTGGCTTCTTCGAACTATGCATCATTTTATTGTTTGCGGTAAGTACCTAACTATCAACCAGGAATATACTGCGGTATATGGTAGCCTACTGTTATTGTTACGTGATATGAGTTATCGTGACTTGCTCAACCGCTTATTCGAATTGTGAGTCGTTCTCGTATACTATTTGAATCATGCGTGCTGATTAAGTACATCAAATTAGGCATGTGGCTCGTAATCTTTACAACCAAACAGTTCCAAGAAATGACATAGGCAAGTAAATATTCTTGCAACAAAATACGTAGAGCAACAGAATCATATCTTGGAAAAATGTCAGAATTCGGAAACTGCGGCAGAATTCGAAAACAAGTGTCGCTGCTCCATAACCATCTTTGGTTTTTCGCGTCACCCTTCATCGTGAAATGTCATTTTTAGGTTGTTTTTCTTAGTTTTTGTTCGCATCAAGTGTATTTCAATTTTCGTGAGAAATATACTACTGACTGACGGCTGATTAATACCCGAATTTAAAAGTATATAGTCGTGGTAAAATAACTTAAACTATTTTTGTCGATTTCATTTGTTAATTTATGATTATGATTACACTCACCTGAGGAACATATTATTACCGTGAACAACCAGAGGGATTTCATTGTACCTCTTCCAAAACTTGCCTATTTAATATTATTTTTTCAATATTGCTGCTTAAGATAAAAACAATTGAGAGAAATGACAAAAATGTATTATATATATTCTTCGACAGGGGGTAAAAAGAAAAAAAATTCAGGCAAAATGAACGCTTAGAGGTATAGATATGTGAATAATATAGCAACGAGATTATTAAGAAACTTCTTTTATTGCATCATAACCGTTATGCTCAATGGTTGGGGTATAGTTAAAAATGCTTACCGTCACATCGCTGTGTCCCCTTGTGGGGCAGAATACAAGAGCGTAACCAGCCCAAAATCATTTTTCGGGAGGCCATTTTTTTGTATAATGACTTAATACGACGTTTACGCGTGCCTTTTACTCTGAACAAAGAGCTAAATAAACGCAGCCTATGGTATCTAACAATATCCTGAAGCAGTGGTTGCCAATCTTTTTATAGTTGGGACCCACTATTTATTACCACAGCTTGTGGCGACCCATTTAACTTTAATAAATGGATAAAATCCAAATGTCGGGGAAACACGGTAAGAAGTGCTATACAGTGTTCAAAGCTGCTATGCGTAAAAAAGACACATGGTCATTCTTTGTGTAACAAATTTTTGTTCTTTTGAGAAGATTGTAAAAAGGAAACTTTCACAGATTATAATTTAAATTCAATTCAATTTCTTTTGTTTTTTTTTGAAGATTTACGTATTATTTACGTATACCGATCCTAATAATCAGTATAATTAATCAAAGCTTTCTACATCTTTTCATACCCACTAAGATTCCTTTTGCATAGCGTCGCGACCCATAGTTTGGGAACCGCTGCTAAAGAATCTCTCTACAGACATACTTCGCTGTCAAAGTTATTCAACAACGTATATAGGCGCACATTTAGTAGAAAGTCAGGAAACGTCCGGTTTCCAGTAAATCATTCGAAAATAGAGCAAAATGGTGTTGGAAAAGACGAGAGAATTTATGTGATCCTTCATGCCTACGCCTGAATACACGGGGAATATTTATATACATTATATGCATAATATTTCTCGATGTCACAGGGTGAGATACGCTATACTTCTGGTCAGTTATTGCTTCATTCAGCACCGGAGACCGTGCATATACATAAAACAAATTAGGTGATTAACTATTCCTATATCGAACTGAACTGATAATGGGTTCTGTTTCGTCGGTTCTCCACAACCTATGTCTTATAGTTATGGGATAAATTCTATTATCAAAAGCACTGTATGGCATCTGTGTTTGCCGCCATATAGACAGTAACTATGCTGAGGCTTGATTTAATAAGGACGTGAAAACCGAAAGTTAGATTTCTAGACACAACATGATCAATTTCGTAAAGGTCTCCAGCTTCTATGACTTCCATCTTGTATGACTATCATTCTATCCATATCTTCTTCACCCAATGCATTTCTTGCAACAAGTGCGCTCTCTCTACATTCTACAAAACCTTGCATATTGATGGCTTTTGTGACAGCGACAAACAGCGTTTTTCGAATGAATTATTTCTATCCTGATGACGATATCGTGATATTAGGACTCATGCTACAAGCTCAAAAGTGCAAGAATGGTTAAGTACAAGAGTCGCAAAGAAAACGCAATTTCTTTCGCATCTAAATCTTATTCTGGTATTTATGTTTCGCCTCTGCTTAGAAAACAGATTCTATTTTTATTGCTGCTCCAATTTATTCTCATGCGGCAACAGTGTTATTTAACGGCTTAAACTTTCGATTCTGTTTTATAATAAGCATTGAAATCGTGGTGTTACACATTATAACAAAGCAACTGGAATTTTAAACATGTCGTGACAGTCTGTTTCGAAAAAGCATACGCGTAATAACTCATACCCGCTCTATGATGACGCAACAATGTTTGAAACAATTCCCATTGTCGGCCATGTTTAATCAAACGTGATGCAAAACGTCTGTCTGACAGGCTTCGGGACAACCGTAATGTCGGAGTAATATTCATAGAAAAATGTAGTTTTATTAACCGAGTGGCATAGCTATCTGTTTTTTAAACACTCGTAGATTGGAGAGTTATTTTGTTGGAGCAAATTCAACATGAATAGGTAAGTTTGTATTTTCCATAGCGATAGCACGGACGACACCAATGCAATGATTAAAAGTAGGCAGAACAACACGAAAGCGCACAAAAGTCTTGAACATTGATTATGCGTTTGCCGACATTGGTAAACTGCTTGATAAAAATTTAACCGAATATTGCCAGTGCTTGAAACAATCTTTATCCAGTTGAGCAATTCACCGGGCGTAAAATTTAGTTTCGCATATGCTAAAGATAGAATGAAACATATTATATTGCCCGCTTGGAAAAAAGTTTTTCTCTCTCGATTATTCTGTATGAATTTATTTTTAAAGTAATCCTCATATAGTCTGCAAATCTATGCACTGACCCAACTCGTCTACTTCGTAATAGAGTTCGGTAACATACGATTATATGTGTTAAGCAGCTTTGAAAGAT